TTGAAAGAAAATTAAAAAACACGATTATACACTTTAATAAAACAAAGTGCTAAATGATTTTAAAAAAAGAAGTCGCAATCGCAAACATTACTAATTTTTTTGAATAAACAGAGTTGATTGACTTATGTCCAAATCCAAAAGAGGAAAAATAAGTTTTGTTATAATTTTATTTATAAAAATGAAAACAACTAAAGATTTATAAATTTAAAATCAGTAATAAAAACCCATTAAATTATTATTTTATCCAAAAAGTTTTTAATAAATTAAAATAAAGTAAAAAATAGCCTAACAAATTTAATTGCTTTTTAAATTAATTCTGTATGGGCACCTTAAATTAGATTTCCGTTTGTAATAAATTCAATAATGTAAAATTATACTTAAACATTGTAATAAATTCGATAATGTAAAATTATACTTAAACGTATAATATCAAAAAAAATTTACCTAATTAATTAAGAAACACTTCTTTATGTATTCTTTTCAATAATAGATTACGTTCAGAACAAGAGAGCAATCACAAAGTCAGTCCCACTGAAAATAATCTACAAGAAACAATATCAAGTCGCGACAAAGAAGAAAAGAAAAACTAAGAGGTACGGAAACGAACATGCGAGATCACGATATATGTTCTCAAAACTGATTCTGATTCTACCGCTCATCAATCAGGGTCGTTTCAATATAACGATACGTACACAGTCTTCCCCAGCGCGAGTTGGCATCGGAACGTAGGAGATCCTTTCGTGTCTTGTATCGCTATATAGTTCGTCTTCTTTACTCGACGGCTTAAATCAGATTTCTGATGCATCGCCTGGAACGAAAGGAACTGGAAGTGGAACGAAGCATCGCCTGGAACGCCTGGAACGACTGGAACGAAGTCGCTGTATCGGCCTGCCGATACAGGCGTTAAATCGATATGTCGCGATACATCGATTTATAGCCCAGTCCTAGTGTCTGCAGATCATCCCCGAGATGCTTCCTTAACAATAACCCATTATAAAGCTCTTGAGAGAAGCGAATAAACTACTATTTCCGAAGAGGAAAAAAGATCAGTGCTCTTGGAAAATCAGTTTTTTCTTTTTAATTTTTGCCAACTAGATAATAATCAATTTTGAAGTGGAAAAGGTGAGCGTAAATATGAACTGACTGTTAATAATTTCCCTCCTTCCTTAATTTTCTTTGTCTTTGAATAGGCCTTTAAATTTTAAAATAATTTGTTAATAACAGTTATTCTTAAAATTTTGGAGCTTTTAGGTTAACCAAGCAAACGCAAAGGAATTCAACTATTTTTTTAATTTCATTTTATTTAGTATTTGTGAATGCCCTAGTGTTAAAAAAAAAAAAAAAAAAAGTTNAAGAAATTAAAAAAAAAAAAAAAAAAGTTGGCGGTGATCTCAATTTCTTGACTACTTTTCAAAGCCCGTCTAATCAAAAAGTTAAACTTTTTCTTAAATAGATTTTAGTTATAATCAAAATGTATGCCATGAAAAATTTTAAATTTTAAAGACATATCTACCCTGATGGTACTCACCTGATATGGGTTCCTGAATGTAAAATGCTCTCACCATTTGTTTTTCTCTCCTTTTTTTATTAATCGAAAATTTTCTTTTTTTTTTTTAATATATATTTCAAAAATTTCCTCAAGTTAGAAAATCTAATTTATTTTCCTTTCAGTCATAAAATTATTTTATGAAATGCACTTTAGATTCCATAGAGCATTTATGTAAAAAAAAAATTACGAAATAGCGTTTCTTTTTCATGTTCACAGCCAGGGTATTTTTTAATTTTTAATAATGTAATGCCATAAAAGTAATTTGTAAATTTATAACTCATTCTATTTTATTTTAGATGAAGAACCTCCAGCAAAGCCTTTATTTGTTAAGTTTAATAACATGTAAGTTTTTGGTCATTTCTTTTATTTTACTCTAATATTTCTATATATTTTGTATTATAGTTTGGTGGTATAAGATCATCTTAAACGTGTTTTTAAAATATTTGTATCTTTCAGTATCGTGTGTAATTGCAATTCTGTTATGTGCTTGTCTTAAATATAACTAAATTTCTAAACTTATTTTGTATCCATTAGTTTCAGATGAATCATTGCTTTCCACTTCATAATTTTTTATAAAAAATCATGCATATAAAAAAATTATACATTTAAAGATTTTAAAGGTTGTACAAATGAATATTGTGGATTAATTTATATTCTGTATGCATGTATTATGTATCATTTTTGATTTATTAATTTTCGTAAATCTTATTTTTTATCATACCATAATAATAAACTTTCTAGTATTTTATAACCGTAGTTGAACAGCCTACCCAATTTTTGGGTTTACGTCTAATGTTCAACTCCGTAGCCTTGTAATTTAAAACCCAATCCTGAAGACAAGGGAACTCCTGGATCGAGTATTGGGAGAAATTTGCCTCCGTGGAGGACTTTTTGATGGAACTAACCTGCATTTGCATTACGTGGAGAGGAAGACCACGAGAACCTCCCATGGTTAGCCTCACGGCAAGGGAACTCTAACTCATGATCTGTCTACCCCTGCGGCAAATCTAATAATTTAATAAAAAGAAATATTTAAAATACATTAATAAATATGCATTGAAACTTGTTTTAAACTGTAACTGCTTTTATTTTATTTTCTGCTTTTGTTTAAACCTTATAAATTTTTTTCAATTAAAAAATTAATTTGACTTTACATTACTTATTTAATGTGTATTTAATTATATTATATTGTATTAATGTATTTTATATGTGTTTTAATTTTTTCTTCTCTCAGTATTGCAGTTTTTTTTTGTTAGAATTTATTTTAATATGAAATTTTGTATTGTGTGACATGATTATGAAAAAAACATATCTTTTCTTCAATGTCTATTTATTTATTGATTATTTTCATTTATTTATTTATTTATTTTTGTATATAAATGGATTTTTTTAAAGTATTTTTTTCATTTTTGAACAAATTTTAATAATTAAAACCATTTAATTTTCTGCAAATATTTTACTAATTTTACTGATGAAAAAAAAATTAGCACTTAGAACACTAATGTATACTATTATAGATGTATCAATATTACTATCAGCATGTCTAATACGCATGCAGCCCTTTGTTAGTCAACCGTTTTTTATTGTGAGCAAATAATTTTCATTTAAATTATTTCATTCGAAAAAACTTATAAAATAATATAAGGTTGTGTACTTTTCTATAGAGTTCTGCTGTTTATTTTGAATTCTTGATATTTGTCTGTTAGTATATTTGTGTGCCTCCTATTTTTATAGGTGTCTATATTACAATCTGCTCTGGTGTTTCTGATGAAGTTGGTGGAGAAGGTATGAATTCATGACAATTCTTATACAATACTTTTTAAAAAAAATAAACTATTTTATTGTATTTTGATTTTTTTTTTAAATTTTATTTGAAGAGATTCTTAATGTTGTGAAATTGTGGCTTAAACACCTACTGCTAAAGGTGGATATCCCATTCTTCTATGACTAAAACATAATCGCGGTAAAGATTAATAATCTTTTTTTTATATATATATATGCATTTTGACCCTTGTACTATCCTTTACTTATTTTTACCTCTTCTCTCTGTCGAGAGCATGAAGTCTGTCATCACATTCAATCTCACCCTGTTTTTGGTCAAGCACTTTATCTCTGGATGATTTTTGTATCGTCTTTATTTCATTCATAATGAATCTGCGTAAAAGTGAACCTCATTTGCTATCTTTTGGCTAAAAAAAAGTTTTTTTCTTAACTTTCATTATTATTTTGAGAATTTTTCTGATGTTTATGTTTGTTTAATTTATTTCAGGGGTGGTCGTAAACATGACCCGTGCCAAAGGAAATTTCCACCCTGTAGATTCTAATCTTACTAGAAAAGAATATTATTGGTTGATTACACCAAGCGAAGAGAAACATCATCCAAAAGGGATTTTTTTGTTTTTCGCGTCACTTTTTCTTCATGAAGATGACATGGTCACTGTTTATAAGACTCTAGATGAGGCTGAAAATAGTACAAATTCTATTGTCGAACCTATCCGTGCTCAGAACGGTAAGTGAATATGTATTACAAGCTCTGTAAAAAGGATCCGGTGAAGTGTGTTTCAAATTGTGGAAGAAGTTAACTATGTTGCGGTAAAAAAAAATTCTATTAAATTCAATTTTAGACATGATAGTTGAAAAATGCTCCTTTTTTTGTTAAACAAATGGTTTAGGTTATATAAAATGTTTAATAATGTTTTATTTTAAATGGAAAATATTTCTTAGATCTGTGCTAACTGTATTTTTATTGTTTCGTAACTTTTTCATTTAAATGAAAATTCATTTGAACCAGGGTGCGTAGCGTTTTTAAAAAGAACTTAAAGGTGCTTATTTATGATTTACGTTTTTTAAAAGCCCTTAAAGGTGCTTTTTTTATTCTTGTGTTTCTAAAAAGTGCTTAATTTTTTTATCTTTTAAAAAGAGATTTTTTCTTTGCTGTGCCGATTGTTATCTTAAATTACAAAAAATCCATGATTTTCACAATTTTCTCTGCAATATTTATCAGAAAATAGTTATTTTATCATGATTATATAAAGTTTTTGAAAATGTTTATTAATTTTATTTATTTTATGTTTATAAATTAAGAATTCTATAAATTATTCTTCTGTTTATAAATTAAGAATTTAAATTTTAATTACTGCAGAGATCCTAATTATGATTTATTTTTTTTGGAAAGTGATTAAAAATATTTTTTAAGTGCTTAAAAAGTGCTTATTTTTTGTTGAAAAATATGACTGTGCACCCTGTAAAATATGCATTGGAGAGGAAAAATCTCATCAGTGTCTTTTCAAACAAATGATTCAACCAAATTCAGTGAGAATATGACCTTAATTTTAAAAAATTATATTTATGATTTCTATATTTTCTGTTATATTTAGTTTTTTTTCGCAAAATTATTCTATATATTGATTAAAGAATCAGTATTTAATAAAGATTTATAGTGCCGTATAGAAACTACTGGTTTGTTTGAAGAGGAAAGTTTAAAAGTTCAAGTGATTGTTAACATGTTCTGATGGCTTCTTGTCATTAGAAATCACCATGTCATGAGTAAATAATGAAGTAACATTTGAGAATGATACTCTGGTTGCTCTGTTAAGAGCACAGTATACCACGAAAGAAAATTTTCATCACACACTCTGTTTCCCCTCCTTCCTTCCAATTTTCCTTAAGTAATTTGAAATTAAAAGCATGTTTTATTTTGTTTCTTTGCTAAAATGTGAAAAGATAGGTGTAATATATTGTCTGAGGTGCATCTGTACCAAATAAATATGAAATGCAAAGGGGAATTACAAAAATAGTAAATAAACCTCTCTAAAAGTAATATTTAAAAAAAAGAAGGTTAACAATAAAGTTTAAAACGAAAGTGGCAATGATTGATTTATACCATTAATGTGAAAAAATAGAAGCTTGAAAAGGTAAATCAAATGCAAAAGATAAAAAAAGTAAAAATTAATAATGAACAATGAAAGAATATAATGATAAATAAAGCTGGGAGCAGCAGTTGCAGAAATTTTAACCTGAGTATTTTGCTATTAATTAGAGGCTTAATTTTCCAGAATTAGTTATTAAAATTCATTTAGATACAGAAATTGAAAATTATTATGAGATAAACTAATCTAAAATCAAACCTATTATGTATTCTTATTCTTGTTTTAATCATTGATTTTTTTTCCTAAAAACATATTATAATAGAATACTTTTTATAATAGGTAAATATCATGTAATATTAATGACATTTTTTAAACTGAAAAAGAAATGATAACAATTTAGAAGACAAATCATTATTGAGGTACTTTTAACGCAAACAGTGGCCAATGGAAGAAAAAAAAGTGACTACCAGATAAATTTCCCTGTCTTGCCCTTAAAAGGAAAATTTAATTTAAATTTAAGGTATTTAAAAGTCCAATATTTCAGAGATTTCCAAAAAGTTGTTTTAAATTCCGTTAATAGATTGTTTTGAAGCTCGATTATATTGCAAGTACACTAAACCCTCTGGGACAGACAACCTTTGTGTAGTGATCTCCTGTATATACAACCACTTTGGGAAGCACAGAATTTTTTCATAGACTTAGTGTTGAAAGTCTTTCCTGTAGGTTTTCCTTTAGAAGAGTCCATCAGAGCCTCTCCTATCAACCAAGTAAACCTTTGCATCAAATGCGGAAAAGGTCAAATAAGCAAACGTGAAAAATATTTTAACAAAAAACAAATAAGTAGATTAAAATGTATTCAAAATATTTGTGAATGTCTCTTATTTAGAGTACAGCTCTTTTTGATGATTGCTGAAAGAGATTGACAACCTCGTGTTACAGTCAGAGTGCACTAAAGACAATGCTATTCATGTTATAGTTTTAGAGTTAGAAGTTGAATTAGGAAGAAAAAAAAGTTAGCATCTCAAACAAACCTCTCATTTTTTTAAAGTTAACAAATTTTTATGCTATAAAATTAAATGCAAACTTAAACAAAAACCATTGTTTATTTATTTAAAATAGTTCTATCATTCAGAATTAGTAAATTTGTTTTTGCACATAATTATATTAGTAGGGGTCATTCTAATTGACACCAAATTTAATTCATGGATCTGGTTTTCATGAGACCAACACAAATAAAATTTCCTCTCCAAGAAAATGACACGGAGTAAAATTAAAATCACTTGTGAAAAATCATGTACCTTTTGATAAAATTGTGAAGTCAATGGAAATAACCCCTAAGAATGACCAACCCCCTTAACGACCATTTTACTATGGAAAATAGAGTGGTCACTCTCGAGGTTTCACTGTGTAAGTATTTTGAGTTATGTAGGTAAATAAGACAAAGTTAGAAACTCATTAATCCTAATTTATGTTATCAATTATTTTATCATATGTTAAATACAATAACTTAGAGAAAAATTTTTTTTATATTTTTAGCCTTTTGATTTATAAAATTGTTTTTGTGTTTCCTAAATAGTTTTCATTTTTTCTTTGTATTTCTCTCCTTACAAATTTTCAGGAATTTAAGAGGCTCTTATTTTCAGCATCTTGTAGAAAAGATATCTATTTTTGCTAAATTGCTATGGAAGTGTATGTATTTTTAAATTTGTGTAGGAACCAATCTTAATNGAAAAAGGCATTTTCAGAAGAAAACGTTTAAAAAAGGCAGAAAAGGGCATTTATGGCATTTTGCCTGAACTTCCGGGCTCTACTTATAATAGATAACCCTTGTTTCAAGAGTTATCTATTCTAGGGTTACTTACTACTCTAGAATAAATTACTCTTTGTACAGGATCTAGAATTGATTGCTTCTTATCTGTTGTAGAAAAGAAAAGCAGAATTAAACTTAAAGGTCATAGCAAAAATAATGAAGAGCATGAAAGGAAAAACATAAGAGCATAAAAACAATTTTAATTCGTAACACAATTTTTATGCACCTTAAATGATGCTCAATTTTTATTAGGGTTCTCGATTTTTCTTACTGACTTTCAGGTCCTTAAACTATTCTTATTTTCGTCATACTTTATTAGAATTATTATTACTTTTGTAAAAGATGTTGGAAACGTCAAGGTTAAATATTATTTCTATTCATTTGTGTAGGAATCTTGAAATAAGGTTATAATATTTTATAAACACAGTTCTCCCTAGGAATAAAAAAGGGTAGTGTGCTTTTTCTCAGAAAAGGGCTCTTTGAGTTTTGAAGGAGCACTCACTCCACACAAAAAATTTATCAAAATGTGTAATATGTAATAACTGAATTTTATCAACAACAATTTTTAAATTTTCTTCTAATACTATTTTATGTGTTTGTTTAAAAGTAATTTTCTCTTATTATTAAAGTGAGAGGAAAATCTGTACTTTATAAAAATAATTAAAGGCATTCTAAAAACAATATCTGCACATAAATTTTTTCAAAAAAAGTAAACTAAAAAAAAATGTTTATTAATTGATAAACAACTTGAAAGCTTCTTTCAATAATTTAAACTGAAAGTTATCAAAAAATTAACATTTGAAGGTGCATTTTTTTTTTCAAAAATAATTTTTGAATTTAAAATTACTTAATTTATTAATATTCTCCCCTGAAAAAAAATATATACTTCTAAACATTTAACCTGTTGAAAAAAATCCTGAAAAAGTAAGTATTTGTAATAGTACTCAGAATTATACCTGTAAACTGAGATAATTTTACCTGGATGTAATTATTATTTAAACAGTGAATTAATCTTTTTTAAAATGGAACATGAATAAAAGGCTGTGTTTATAAGGAATGGTGGCTTATTTTTACCTAAAGGGCTAAGAGGGCGCATTCAAAGGGCAAACAGAAAACAAATATTTTTCTTTTTTGGCAGTTACAAGTTATTTATTGCATTTTTACTGGATCTTTTTTACTTATTTTTAAGTTATGAAATAGTATTTTATTTCTGATGTAGAACAATTAATCCATTTTGAATTTATGAGTATTTTAAATTCTTGACAGCTGTGTCAAAATTGCTGATTCTCACCCAATCGGATACTTTAATACTTGGATTTATTTGCAGGTTCTGTTACAATTATGACTGATTTGCACAGCTTGGTTGTAAAACTTCAAGGAAATACTACAGATTACATAAGGCAGTTTCAAGGTTATTATTCTTCTGATGGTAAGAACTTGTCAATTTTCTTTTATTTGAGTTTAAACATAAAAATTCTATTTTAGTTTGTATATCTTTAGAACATTAAAAAATTGTATGTTCCTGTTCAGCAATTGCGGTTCACACGCAAATTTCAATAAATGTATAAAACTTGTTTCTTGCTTTTGTGCTTTATATATTCTTTGTATTAATTAATATGTACTAATACAGAGTGTAAAAAAGTAATCATCCTGAATAATTTTAGATCTGATAAAATTTTTATATCCTCAATCTTAATGGTTTGAGGCTTTAAGCTTAAGCATGCTAATTAAATGCCAATAATATTAAGTCGAGAAATTAAACAAAAGCATATTCTCCAAATTAATGTCTTTTTTTCAACAGTTTTGTGGTTCTGTTCTGCAAAATATAGGTCATAATTGTGACTTTTTTAAAATTGGATAACTCAAACTCATAAATTACTTGACAACTTTCGTAAAAATTTCTGTACCTTATAGTTTAACATTTTTTTACTATTGTCAAATAAATTAATAAAAGACTATAACAGGGTGCATAGCGTTTTTAAAAAATGCTTAAAGATCCTTTTTTTTTCATTTTCGTTTTTTAAAAGCCCTTAAAGGTGCTTTTTTCATTGGGTGTTTTTAAAAAGTGCTTAATTTTTCCCCTTTTTCAAAATAAGATTTTTCCTTTACCATGTTGATTTTCGCTTCGAGTTATGTAAAAAGACGCAGTTCACATTGTTCTATTCAACATTTTCACAATTAATTCAACCCCAATCTATTCCGGCGTATTGTCAGTCCGTAGGGCATGAAAACGCCATTCGTTTAACATGATTTAAAATTTCATAATTTTTGACATTTGTCAAAAACAATGCCAAAAGGTTTTTTTTTTCGTCATGACAGTTAAAACAAGATGGAAACGTCAATTGTCAAAAACTTTCCAATCCTGCCTAATAATGATATTTTTTAAAGTGCTTAAAAATATTTTTTGAGCACTTGAAAAGTGCTTAAAAGGTGCTTATTTTTTGGTGAATAATTTGGCTACGCTCCCTGTATAAAAAGTACTCAAACAATGAAATTAACATTAAAAGGGTCTAAATTTGATCCTTTTCCCCTAAAACAGTTAAAAAGTTAGCAGAAAATTAAACTTGGTAAAAAGTTATTTAATAATAATTTTGGCATCTTTAATGACAAAATTTTGATTAATGCTTATATATTACTCAGTTTAATAATGTAACTTTTAATTTAATGTTAATTAATTTTTATTATTTTTACTTATAATTACTTTGCATTTAGTTTAAAATGCTGAAAAGAAGAGAATTTTGTTTTTAAATCTCAGAATTAATTCACTGTTAGAATAAATAACAGTACAAAAAGTTTTTCTAAAATATTTCTGTATGAATAAATTATCTTAACCAGGAAAAATCAAACTTGTTATTTTCATTTATATAAAATCTTTTTGCCTAAAACTTGGTATTTGATGTATGGAATAGTGCTGAAAATTTCTTACACTGCTAACTTCCTAATTTTTGAACTTTGCTGAATCAATATGATAAATAAACTCAAATGGGAATTATGCCCCCATCCCCGTGGCAGAATCACGGTGACATTGTCGCAGAACTTTACAGAGTTCTTGCAGAAAGATTTTTCTTTTGAAAAGTAAAAAATTTTACCTTTCTTTTTTACTGAAATTTACATGTAATGTTTGAATCTTTTCTTTTATTGTTCTAAGTTCTTTGTTACTGTCCTAAACTACTAAATAATTATTGTAATTTATTTTAGAATGCTCCGTGGATATTACCCCTGATGTACATATCATCCATTCACCCATTTACATAGGGAAAAATAGCTCTGTTCAGTGTGACTATACTTACAATCATGTACAGAAAAAGCGTATAAAACCTGTATTCCAGTTTGATGTGTACAATTACACAAAATCTTCAGTTCAATTAACGCAAACAACTTATCCTTTTAGTACATACAATAAAGGTGAGTTTTTTGTTTAATAATTTTTTAAATTCTGTTTTTGAAAGCATTTTAAAAACAGTATTTATTACGCTTTTAGGAGCAAACATTAAATACAAAATGGTTTTTATTATTTAATGCTGCACAAAGTGTTCCAAATCAATATTCTAAGTGTACCAAATCACATTTTGATTTGAAACCCTTATTTGAATAGTAGTGCAACTATATTGATTAAATTGCCTCACTTTCATGTTCAAGACATTTTTATTGCATTTTAAATCTACATTTCAGCTAATTTGTGCTGCTAAACAGAGTACACAAAAATATCATACAAGATAGGAAAAAAACTAACGAGCAATACAATTAGAAGCTCCGCATCAAAAAAACTGCAAGAGTGCTGTATCTCTATTCAAACTAGGGCTTCATTTTTAAATATTTTAGAAACAGCTTGGTAAAATGGTGATATTCAAAGACATAAACAGAAGATGATTTGTATTAAACAATTCTATAAATCACATTTAACTTCATAGGTGTAAACAATAAAATTTATCGTTAACAAATTTCTGCAACTAAGGAAGAACTGTTGACTTTTTACAGTAGTTTAATTATTTGCTAAGAGGTTACAATTTCAAATTTTAATTTTAAATGAGGATTTGGGTACGTTCTGAAAATATATTTTTTCAGGTTGTCTTCAGGGGAGAAGGGAGCAAAGCGTGCATTTTTTTTTAAAAAAAATGAATGAAAATTAATGCCAGTTCTATGCAGTAGTGTTTTATTATTGGTTAAATGACATTTAATTAACTAAAGCATGTTTAATCCAATGAAAAAAATATGTTTTAAATGTATAATATTAAGGTTTTAAATGCTGCTTTGCAATGTTTTATAAATTGTAGTGTTTAAAACCTTTGAAATGGATGATTTATGTTGCAAATATTTATTTTGTAGTGAATCCTATGGATTTTTTCCCTGATACTGCTCACAATTCTATGACAATTACTGTCGACGTCAAAGATAAAGATGAAAAGTTTCGTTTACTAGTACGCCAAGTTGATAGTGGTAAGCCCCTTTTATCTTCACTTTTGCATTTATAAATTTTTTTGTCTAAAACCTCCTGTTTTATTCTTGTTATTACCTCTCTTTTCTGTTAGAGCGCTACAGTTCGATGATTTTTTTAACTTTGTTTTGTTGGTGGTTTCAAAACGTTGCAGAAGAAATAAATAGTGCATATTTTGTCTGATTAAAAACGCTTTCATCTTTATATAAGAAATTTTTTATTGTCTTCCTGTGCTAAAGTTATTCAGCTTAGGTAGTTATTCAGTTAGGTAGGGCAATGCCCTATATACGCTGCTCTGACTTTTTTGTAAAAATAAGCCGCCATCACTTAAAAAAATTGCCTTTTTATTCATATCCCATTTAAACAAATATCATTCACTATTTAAATAATAATTACACAGTGGTAAAATTATCTGTGTTTATAGGTTTAATTCTGGTTACTGTTACAGATATTTATTTTGTCATGTTAATATTTTATACCTCAACTGTTTAATATTTTTAAAGTTTTACTTTTTTTAGGGAATATATTGATGAATTTTAAGTTTATTTTAAATATTAAAATCATTTTTTAAATACTTTTTTTTTTATAAAGGCATTTTTGAATATTTATTTTCTTGTAATTTTCAGTTTAAATTATAGAAAAAAAAAGATTTCAAGTAATTTATCATTAATTATTTCTTTTTTAGTTTACATTTTTTGAAAAAAAATGTGCACACTGATTGTCTTTTAGCATGCCTTTAATTATTTTATAATAAACTGCAAATTTTTCTCTTGTTTTGATAATAAATGAGAATTGCTTTATGAAATATATACATAAAATAGTATAAGAGGATAATATAAAAATTATTAGGAATCAAATTCAGTTATTACATAATATAACACTTTTTGACAAATTTATAAGGTCTTAAGTGAGTGCACTTTTCAGTTTCGGGTATTTTTTTCCCCTAGTCTCTGATTATAATATGTGTAGCACCATGGAAAAAAATTAATTGATTGGGTAGAGTGTAGGTAGAAGTAGATGTGCAGCCATCTTCGTGTATTAAGAATCCCGTTGTTTGGATCCAGAATAATGAGTGAAAAGATACATAGGGAAAATTACGCAAAACTAGTAAAATTCTGTGTTTTCTGATATGTTGCACGAAACGTAAAAAGACTAAATCAGAGTTTAATTTATTTAGGATATTTTCAAACCATCAAACAAGCATAAGAAAATTAAAGCTTGTCTGTTTCAAAAGTTTTAGTCAACTTAAAAAAAATTTTTGTTAAAAAGTGTTTATAAATTTCAATTGCGCTGTCCTATTTAATATTAACCTATTTTTAAAAAATTTTATGTTTTAATTCTTTATACAATAGATAATTTTTCCACATTGCAGCATTCAAAAACTATTTTTTTTTGACCCGCTCTAGCTTGAAACTCCATGGTTGCTAAATGTATAGAGAAACTTTCGAGCCCTTCAAAGACTATGGAATTGTACAATTCATGAAAGGCAAGGGATGTGATAGAGGCAAGAGCAGGGGCTAGGACATTTGTTCCTATTCATAAAACTAGGGGATTTTTTTCTAGTCAGTGGACTGAGAACATTTATGGTTCAAGTTGATTTTGATGCTTTGGATTTTTGGTTAAATTTGGATTAAATTTTGAAATACAATAAATTTTATTTCGCACTCGTTTTCTGAAAGCTTTCATACTCCCACCCTATGAAAATGTTCAATTATTTTTTCTCAACCAAGCTAACCAATCACATATCTTTCTTACAATTGCTAACAGCAATGTTCATAGACAAATTTTTGCAAGTGTTGCTTTGACGCTAATTTTCTCGATTTCATTTAAACATTTTGAAGCAATGTTTTAGTTTAAAAGGGTTTTTTTAAACAAAAACTAACTATATGTTGATAACATTTGATTTTAGTGTTTGGTTGATAAATATTTAATATTTGATTCAAAATTTGAATTGTATAATCTCAATGTCGAAAGTTTCTAATTGTTGTGTGCATTCCAGAGATATTTCCGAAATTGTTTCTCCTTTTTTTCCTGAAAAGCTAGCAAAAAAACAAATAATGTATGGTAAACATGTTAGTTGATGAATTAATATGGAATATAAGACAAAATATTGATTTGTGTTTATTTGGAAGAAAGAAAACAAATCTTTGTTCTGCCCTCTTTGGGTGCATGTTTTTAGTTGTAAAAAAAAAAAAAAACAAACTAATCTAAACTGAAAAAGCATGTGGCTAGGTTGGAATTCTTGAAATAATTAAATAAAAATAATGAAATTTAAAGAGTTTTATGTAGCTTTTCTCTAAAGAGTACACAACAATAAATTCAACAATTTTGCATTTAAATTCCGAGCCCCGTGGCAGCATCACGGCGTCAAAGTCACAGAATGTTACAGAGTTCTTGCAGAAAGATTTTATTTTTGAAAAGTAAAAAAAAGGTTCTTTTCTGCAGAAATTTACACGTCATATTTGAATCATGTATTTAGATAATAACTTTTTTATATGCTCAATTTACGCCGAAAGTATCAATGTAATGTTTCGATTGATTTTCACGTGGATTTTAAGTATCCCAAAATATATCAAACAATATGGAAAATTCGAATCGTGCATTTGAGTATTTACTTAAGGCAATAATTATGGCAAATTGTTGCCAGTGAATATTACCATATATTGTGAGAATATTATCCATAATATTAGAATAAAAAATTATCACATGTTCAATTAAAATAAATTATTATTTTTTTTTTTGTAAACACAACACTTTTTCTATTTTAAATTAGTAATATATGTGCTTGTTATTATTAAAAGTATCTTGCAGAAAGATATTAGTGCTAGAGTTTTGTTGCAGATAGCTTGAAAAAATTCTGCCACAGGAATACAGAGTATCTCAGTAAATAATATTGCTGATTCAAAACAAGCAACATTAAACATTTGATTTTAGATATTAGTTAAAAGAAAATATGATCAATAAATTCTGTATAGGGCTATGAATGTAAAATAGCTCTACATTTGAAAGTAAATAAAATTTTATAGTAAAAATGAATTTATAATGGTTCGGAATTATTTTTTTCTGCTTAATAAAAATATTTTAAACAATACTTGTCAAAGGTTTTTTGTATCACTATGTATTTGCCTTTCGGTGCACTTATTGCAAAAACTTCTTAAAGTAACACATTAAAACACTTTTTATTCAATAAAGGCAATATATTCTACAAGCTAAACATTTTTTCTCCACATCTATCTTAATTTAAAAAAATTAATGTTGTACCAAGACAGTAAAACTTTAAAAAATAAAGACATTTTTCTTGTGGTTAAGTAGCTATCCTTCACTTCATAAAAAAGGGGGAGCACGCTGAATTGGAAATTTTAAGATTTTAACCGGGAAAAATCTAGGAAATTTTAAACCTGATTTGAGAGGCCATCCTGAATTAAGATGCTTTGAAAGTTTACTTTTAGCCTGGAAAATATGGTATTTTTTCTTAGCGAAAACCTAAAAAGCACAGTTCATATTCCACTACAAGCTTCTTCAAAGTATCCATTCTATTACAGCCTTATTTTATTAATTCATTTTTTTATGAAAAGAACTAATTATGATTTGTTGCTCATAGTGTGTTTATTAAATGTTTGCTGTTTCCCTAGCTTGCAGTCAGTACATCCGCCTTAATGGTGTGTATCCAACTCCAATTGCATCACCTAAGTATGTTTTGGATAATGGAACTTTTGGAGATGAATGTTTATGGATTATCGAGCATGGCGATGGAAAAAAAATATTAGGTGTAGCTTTCATTGAACTCTATTTATCCACTGTATTGGACATAGTATCAATAAACGACGGAGCATCTTTTGTTTCTCAACCTTTGTTTCAAGTTACAGCCTCACATGCAAATACTTCCATGAGTAAGTTAAATTTTAGAAAAACAGTTTAATTTTCATTGTCACCTACTGTTAAAGTAAAACTCTGTGTTCTGTTTGCAAATAATATTTGCTTAGTTTTGAATTACCTCTCTATTGCTATAGAACAGTGAGTGTAGGTGTAGGAACCCTATAATATTTAAGAAAACTTTTGGGAACCTTATAAGCCTTGCACACATACGATAAGCATGTGAATGAGATTGTCAATTTCTTCACTTGTACTTTTCACAGTTGCAGGGCATTAATTTTCAATTTTAAAACAGAAAATTATGTGGATATTTAAATTAAATAAAGCAAAAAATAAAAATGTGTTGAAACATTTTAATTTTATCTTTGTCTGCATTGTTTTATCTCAATCTGTATAACATTTGCTAATTATAAAATCATCATATTTTTAAAAAATGTCATAATTGCTAAAATTGTTGATGATCCCTACTGTACAGGTCTGCCATTGGCGACTAAATTGACTATTTTAAAGCAATAGCAACTATGGCGACTATTTTAGTAGAAATTTGAGTAAAAACAACTAATTTGCTATGAGTTGAGTAAAAGTGGCGACTTTTTTGAGCCAATTAGCGACTAAAATGAAGAATAGCTTCATGAGTTTCCCCTTTCCCCCACTTTTTTTGCCGCACTTTTGTTTCATCCAAACTTTATTCTTCTTCACTATTTGATGTCAAAAGCAAGACAGACATGTTTAACCAATCAGACTAATGGAATTGAAATTGCACTACGTGAATGCTTCAGGAAGCTAATGTAATATCTCTGAGGATTACGTTTTTTCCCCTCTTTTAATTTGAACTGAGTAGCAAAGTTAAAAAAATTGTCGTTAAATACACAAAATGTGTAGTTAATTTTTTAGAGCAATTTAGAGTAGAAGAAAAGGTATATGGTAATATTCATTTTGTCGAATTGTGATCATAACTTTTTTGATAAGCATTAAATTTGGAAATGCATCATTTATGAAAAATAAACAAAATGAAAACTTGATTGATGAATTAAATTGCAATATTTCTTCTTTTTATTTTTCAAATGTCTAACCTAAGCGGCTGCAAATTAGAACCAAGAAAGGAAATTCGAGTTTCAAATTCACCTGTTCTGTAGCAGATAAAAATAAAACTCCCTCTTTTTATGCATAGTGTGAAAGAATAAGAGTTTAGCAGTTAATTACAATTTTGGATCAATTTATTTTAAAGTTTGATTCGATTTGGAATATTGAAGTTTGCAGGGATCCCCTATTTTCCCAAATTTTTCTATTATTTCGGCACTCTTCCTTTTTTCCCCTGTTTTTTCCTATTTTTCTTATTTTTTTAAAATCGGCTCATTTCTGCTATTCCTCCTTTAAAAAGCATAGTGACAGCCAAAAAAAACAGAATAATGACTCAAGGTCAAGTATTGCAACTGCACCTGTTTTTCAATGCATTCTTTTTAAAATGGGGGTGTGAGGAACATGAAATCATTTTAGTACGTCAGCTTCTGTGTCTGCTTGCCAATTCATTTTTAACTGGAGTGGAGGAGAGAAAAAACCACACGGCTTAAGATTGAAACACGCGTTTTTCCTTCTGATTTCGATTATTGTTTCAGCAAAATGCTGAAACCAAAGTTAAACTCTAGATAATATTAAATCCTGATCCAGAATCTCGGCAACATAGTCGCAGAACGTTACATAGTTTTTACTGTGTAATGTTCATAAATTCAGCAAAATTTTCGTCATTACGATGGCTCAATTAAGTCTATCAAAAGCCGGTATTTTTGTAAACATATCACATTTTGCAATATGTAAAAAGAAAACAGGGTGCGTAGCGTTTGTAAAGAGTACTTAAATGTGTTTTTTTGGGGATTTTGTTTTTAAAAGCTTTTAAAGGTGCTTTTTTCATCTGGCGTTTTTAAAAAGTGCTTTTTTTACGAATAATTTTTTTTCCCTTCAGTGATATCTGATGGATCCCATGCATTTCACGAAAAATGGGGAGTTTGCTACGTAATCATTCACACGGACTTCATGTTCGTACCCACGTTATGACTTGCGCATGCGCGCACACTTGAAACCGAAACCCGAGTGCTCCAATTCGGATAGAGAATATCAGATCCTTATGGAATGTTTTTCTTTTTAATTTATTTTAATTTTGTTCTTGTTTATTTTATTTTACTTCTAACACTTTTTTTGACGTAGGGGTATGGGTACTTTTGTTCTGAATTCAGGGTCAAGTTGAATTCACTCGGTGATGTGGGAAGGTACTGATTGTTTCGATTTACGCCTGTTTCTTTTTCTTTTTTTTTAACGCTAAAACTGTTTATAAAAAGTTTTTGTTTTTCAATAATATTATTGATTGAATATGAATTTTTTGAGTGCTTGAAAACTTTTGTAAAGTGCTTGAAAAGTTCTTAAAAAGTGCTTATTTTTTATTCAAAGATTTGGCTACGCACCCTGGAAAAGGCTTTTGATAGGTCAAATTTTTCCATCATAATTGCGAGAATTTCGCTGAAAATTAGCAGAAACCTAAAATAAATTACTTAGAGTAAAATAATTTACTATTACTTTGAGTAAAATAATTTAACTTATTATATTTTATAATAAGCCATGCAAATAATTTCTCTCCACAGATCAATTGATACGGTCATCTGGTCCATATTTGTGGATAAGTTTTAAACCGAACAGCTTTATTTCAGAAATAAAAGCCAATATCACTGTACATGGTAAGTTAATTTTCACTCTAACCTTATTATTTTAATGATTAAAGAAATGCAGTCTCACTAAAGATTGATTTAATTAAATTGAAATTTTTCAAATTTGCCAATATAATAAGGAACTGTTTTTATTGTTATAAATATAATTATTTTGTTATAAATATTTATTGCAATATATATTGCCATTGGGATTAATATTTTTCTCGTTTTTCATTTCTCTAAGTATAGTTAAGTATAATTATCATAACAATTTTTGATAAAATTAAACATTGCACTTAATTATTAGTGTTCATTAATAAATGCAGGTAACTTAAATGTTGCATTTCTATAGTGCAATATTTTGATTATCCAAAGCATATTCTGTCAATTATAGATAATTGAGGTTGTACAATCTCGTAGAGTAGGGGTGCACAACCTTTTTGAGTGAAGGGCCACTTGCACAGCAGGTTGGCTAACGAAGGGCTGCACATGTATTTAGACATGTTAATGACAAATGTAGTAATGTTTATTTAAGCATTAGCGTTCCATTTTTTTTATCAATAAACTTAGTAATATCAATAACTTAGTAGTGTTCCATTATTAGAATTCGTTCAAAAATAAAAAAAAAATTATACTTTTTTTTGCTATTTTTATCATATGAACAATAGATTTATCAAAATAAATAAACATTGAAGAAAAGAAATGGGTTTTTTTTTATCATATCATGCAATATGAAAATTCATTTTAGAATTAAAGTCTAATAAATAAAAAAAAACTGCAATGCCCACAGAATGAAAGTAGGAAAAAGTTTAGTCATATTTAAGTATTATAAATTCAAATTAAATATTTTAATTGAAGAAAATTTATAGGTTTTAAACAAAAGCCTAAAATAAAAACAAAACTGTGATAGTTCAAAATAAAATTCAATGCTTATTTTGTAATGTACTTTATTATTTTATTTTATTAATTATTAGATTTTTTATATCGTAAACATTTTCCTTTTTTTTATCGAAAAAGAT